ATATTATTTTTTTGTATTATAGGTAGTGGATTCACTGGAAAATGAAAAAAAAAGCACTTATAACTCTGAATTTAATATGAAAGTAATATATAAATATTTAATTTAAAAAAAAAAAAAAAAAAAGTGAATTATGTTATTATGAAATAAGATTTCTGCTAATATATATATTTGTAATTTTTTCATATTTATTTCTTTTTTGTAGAAATATATAAAACAGAAAAATGAAAATAAAGAACATTTTAAATAGTGATTTATATAAAAAAAAAAAAAAAAAAAAAGAAATACTTAAATACACATTTTTTTTTTTTTTAATATAATTTTTTGTTTTTTTATTGAAATATATAAATTTATTTTTTACTTTTTTAATTTTTTTTTTTTTTTTAAAGATATCTTTTATTTTATTCTTTGTTTTTTTAACATAGCATAATAAATACCAACATAATAAATTATTCAAAAAATGATTTCAATACATTTAAAAATCATAATTTTTAATTAAAAATTAAAAAAGATAATAGAGAGTTTTTTTTTTTTTTTTTTTCATAAAAAAAATTTAATAGTAAATTCAATGTATTTGAGAAAATAACCTTGCAATGTGTGCAATTAAAAAATTTCATCTTATAATAGAATTGTTCTACATTTTAAAATTTTTTTTTATTAAAAAAAAATATATTTATTTAATTTTTTTTCAAAATAATGAAGCATTTAACAATATATCTTTATATAAAATAAATTATTTTTTTATTTATATTTGCCTAAGATTTAATATATCTATGAATATTTTTAACATTTCATTAAACAAAAAAAAAAAAAAAAAAAAAAATTTATATATATATATTAAATTTTATTTATTTTTTATAAATATAAAATGGAGAATTATAAAGTTAATGATATTGTGATGATATATGGTCATAAATCAATTATTCAACATGTTCAAAATATTCAAAATGAAAATGGAAAATCATTTGAGCTTTATGCAGCAAAATATACAAATAAAAGTGGTTATACAAATGGGGTTTACAGAAACAAAAAAATATATGACTCAAAAGATGATTTAATAATATTTTGTTCATATAGTTCAATAAAACCATATGATGGTAATTTTCTTTTAATTTTTTAATTATATAAATATCTATTTGTCATATAATTTATATATGATAAACTTCAAAATTTTAGGATTTGATTAATATAAATTGTCTATATTTATTTTTTAACATTTTAGAAAAAGAAAGTGCATGTATAATCATACAAAAGATATTTAGGGGATTTCTTGCCAAAAAAAATTTTTATTCTTTTGTTTGCTGCACTATTTGGAGAAAGTTAGAGCATTTACATGAATATATAACACTAAATAATCATGAGTAATTAAAAAATATAAAAGAGAACATAGAAAATAAATATACACAATATTATAAATATATATATATATTCATAAATGAAAAAATTATTTTATATATTAATTTCTATTTTCATAGAGAAATTTATAAACCTTTAATAAAAATAATAAAAAAAGATATAAAAAAAGGAAAAATTCAGTCTTCATCAAAATGTTTTTCAAGTAATTCGAATCAATTTTCTCATGTTTCTACCAATTCTTATGAAGTAATAGATTCTTTTATAAAAATAATATATTATTGTAAACGTACTAATTTTTTTTAAAGAATGTTCATTCTTATAGATTTTTAAAGTTTATAAAAAAAAAAAAAAAAAAAATACTATTTCCTAAAATTTACATTAACATATAATAATATGCATTACTACTTTTTAAGTCTAGCTCTTGTGATACTAAAGTACCAAAATTAAAAGATAAAATTGATAAAAATTTTGCTATGGAAATGTATCAGTTTTTCTTAACATCTAAAAATGTAAAAAAAAAAAAAAAGATATATGTATTACCAATTTTGTAAAAAAATTTATTTTTTTCTAATACTTCAGTTTTGAAATAATATTTATTTATTTTTTTTTTTTTTTTAGATTGTATTGCCCTATAATTTGGTTCATAAAATATTGATTAAAACAAAAAAAATGCTAGAAGAGAATATAAAGAGTTCTATAATATACATAGATATGTCTAAAAAATATAAAGACAGTAAATTAATTGTAAAACTATAAAAATAAAAAAATAAAGTTTTTTTTTTTTTTTTTTTTTTTTTTTTTTCTATTCTCCTTTAACATATATTCCTATATTTTTTTTTGAAGTTACTAGGAGATATACATGGGCAGTTACACGATGTTCTTTGGCTATTCAACAGATTTGGACCTCCATCACCAAATAATATGTTATGAAAAAAAGAAAAATATGTTTTTTTACTTAATTATTAAAAATATTTACTTTTTTTTTTTTTTTTTTTTTATATAGATATGTTTTTAATGGTGATATAGCTGATAGAGGAGAAAATGCTACGGAGATATTTTTACTTTTATTTATTTTTAAATTAAGCAATTATGAAAATGTAGTAATTAATAGAGGTAACCATGAATGTTCATATATGAATGAAGTTTATGGATTTTATAATGAAGGTAATATCTTTATGAATTTAATATTAACATTATTTGAATACTTAATTATTAAATATTAAAATTTTCTTTTTCAGTAATTTCTAAATATGATAACACTATTTTTGATTTGTTTCAAAACATTTTTGAATTATTAAGTCTTGCAGTGAATATTCAAAGTAAATTCATATGTTCTTTTACTTATGTAACTAGCTAAAACAGTTTTTTTTTTTTTTTTTTTTTTTTTTTTTTATATAGATCAAATATTTGTAGTTCATGGTGGGTTATGTAGATATCCAAATGTAACATTGAAAGAAATAGATTCTTTGAATAGAAAGAAACACGAAATTTTACATCCAGAAAAAAAAGAAGATACAATAATTTTTGATTTATTATGGTCTGATCCTCAAAAAAAAAATGGGATAGGTGAGAATGCAAGAGGAAATAATTGTATAAGTTTTGGACCAGATATAACAGATTCGTTTTTAAAAAATAATGATTTAGATATTTTAATTAGATCTCATCAAGTTCCAAAAAGTTTAAAAGGAATTGAAAGTCATCATGAAGGAAAATGTATTACATTATTTTCAGCATCTAATTATTGCAATAAAATAAAAAATTTAGGTGCTATAATTGTCTTTAACCAAGACTTAACTTTTGAAGTGCAAGAATATATGTCTCCTTCACTTGAGAAAATAAGAGAAACTTTTGAGGAAAACCAAAAATTAAGAGAAAAAGTTTTGCATTATTCAAAAATATTAGAACTAGAAAAAAATGTAAAAAATATACACATGTATATATATATATATTAATAATTGTAAAAAATATATATAACTTTACTAATAAAAAAGAAATAAGTATATTATTCAAACAATTATATTAAAATGTTTTTGCTAATAAAGATTTAAATATGTATATATATATATGTATATATTTTCTTTTTTCTTTTAAAGGAACAAAAAAAAAATAAGAAGATATCTAGTGAAGGTATAATGAATGATATCATGAGTTCCTTGAGCGCTTTAATTTGCAATGAAAAAAATTCTTTATGGAATAATTTATATACAAAAGATGAACAAAAAACTGGAATTGTTAATATAAATATATGGATGTAATTTAAAAAAAAAAAAAAAAAAAAAACAATTATTAATTTTAATTTCTTACATTTTTAATATTTTAATTTTTTTTTTTTTTTTTTTTAAAGAAATGAATTAGAAAAAGTTAGCAAAATAAAAAATGTTCCATGGATTTATTTATGTAAAAAATTAAAAATTATCGAAAATAATTGTGTAAATTATAATAATGTCTTAAGTAGATTTAAAATAAATTATGCTCCTAACGAAAAGTTTATAAATACTGAATGGAAGAATGAGTGTTTTGAGCATCTGTATGAATCTTTACTAAAAGCAGACTTAAGCTTAAGAGAAACTTTGATGGTATTTGATAAGAATTTAGATGGAAAAGTTACATTTTCAGAATTTGAACAAGTTTTAAAAGACTTAAATATAGGTAAATGATTTTGTTTAAAAATCGTTTTACATATCAATTCCCTTATTTGAACATTTTATATATCATTTAAACAATCTTTTTTTTTCTTTTTTTTTCTATAGATCTTTCAGTTGAACAAATAAGAATTTTAATGAGATTGATCAATAGTAACTCCTTGTGTAACAAAAATAAAATACTTGAAAATGATAAAATTGATGTAGCTGAATTTATCGGTAAAATGAGAGTATGTTATCGATTATCAATTAATAAGGAGTATATAGATAATGAAAAAATAAAAAAATTAATTGAAACTATTGGTAAATATATATTATCTGATAGTACAGATACAGCTAATTTTCATTATAAATTTTATGAAGAAAATAGTTTAAGGAATAATTCTGAAAGAAGAAAAAGATCAAGTGTAATAAAAGCTGTTGCTTTATTTCAGAAGTTTAAAAATTATGATAATTTCGGAAATGGTTTATATTTTAAAATTACATTAAAAAAAAAAAAATTTACATAAAAATGTATTTTAAATAGTAGTGTGTATTTATATAAATATACCTATTTAATTTTTTTTTTTTTTTTTTTTTAATAGGTTATTTGGATTATAATGATTTTGTTAAAGCAATTAAAACTTTCGATATAAAAAAAATTAGTAAAGAAGTTAATTTTGAAGTTAATGATAGTATTTTATTGGAAGTAATAATAAATTAATAAATAGTATAAATATATATTTTTTCATATTTTAACATTTTATTCATGAAATATTAAATACTTTTTTTTTACAATTTTATTGAAATGATTATTTTTTTTTTTTAATTTCTAAAGCTAGCTAAATCTATAGACGTAACAAAGTCATCTAAAATCAATTTCTTAGAATTTTTGCAAGCCTTTTATATTGTGAATAAAAGTAAATATTCTTATGTAGACGAGGTTAGAATCTTTTAATGTTATTCTTTTTTTTATTAAGTTTGCATTTTTTTATATTTCTATTGCTTATTTTCTTTGAGTATTTTATTTTATTTTATTTTATTTATTTTTTTTTTTTTATAGATATGGTGTCATATATGTACTGTCATATATGAAAATAAAATAGCTTTAAAAAAATGTTTGAAATACATAGAAGACTCAATTCAGGGAAGAATAACAAGTTTACACTTTAGATATGTTTTATTAGAATTAAATAAAATTTTGCAAGAACAAAAATATGAAATGTAATTTAAAAATGAATTAAAAAAAAACAAAAACTAAAATTATAAAATGTTTATGTTTCTCAATGATCTATTTATTTTATTTTTAAAATTTTGGTTTTAATATTTTCTTTATTTATTTTTTATTTTATTTTACTTTTTTTTTTTTTTTTTTTTGAAGGAATAAACCTTTAACAGATGAACAAATAGATTTGTTAGCATATTCTGTAGAAACAGATGATAAAGTGGATTATATTGAATACCTAAATTCTTTTAAGCCTGTTTATATTTATTTAAATGACAAATAATATATATTACAAGTTTTTATTTTTATTTTCTTTTTTCTCTATTTGTGTACATACAAAAAAAAATAAAAATATATAATTTTGTACTTACAACTATTTTTTAATGTTTTTTTTTTTTTTTTTTTTTTTTTTTTTTTGTTAAATTTTAAAAATATTTTGTCTTTAATAAAACATATATTATTTTTTTTCTCTTTTATTTAATATCTTAATTTTTTTATTTAAATACACTCTTAATAATATTTGTACATTAATAATGTACAAAAAGTTTAAAATAATAATTTTATAAAAATGTCTAAAGTTGTAGACGAACTCAAATTGTTCTTAACGAATTTATCAGTAAAATAAAAAAAATTAAAAAAAGGATAAAATATATTTAAGAAATATATTTTTTATTTTAAATATCATTATATAAATTTTCCTTTTTATAAGAGAGGATCAGATACAGTAGACGCAAATGATTTGTTAAATTCAGGTTTACAAAAAAAAAAAATAAAATAAATATTTATATAAAATATAATTCAATATTCTTTTTTTTTTTCTCTTTTTTCAAGGAATTGCTGATAAATCAGTAATTCTGAACATAAAAGAAAAACTAGGAGAAAGCCCATGGAATATACAAAATTTAATAGACGTAAAAAAAAAAATAAAATAATATAATATAATATAAACAAGTTTAAATTATAAGATCAAATAAATGAATATTATATATATATAGATATAAAATTAATAATAATTTTTTAAATAAAATTTTTAAATAAAATATTTAAATATAAAACAATATTATATTAATAGTTAGGTATAGATATAATTCAAAAGGATAATGAAAATGAACTAGAACTAAAACATGATAGTAGTGATAACATAATATCTGAAATTGAAAATGAAATAGAAAGTGATGTTGAAAGGGATGTCGAAAGTGATGTCGAAAGTGATATCGAAAGTGATGACGATTTTTATATTAAAAATTTGAAGTTTGGAAAATGTGAAAACATTGAAGAAACATTAAAAGTTATGATTCATGAAAATGTTATTAATTTACATCCAATTATAAAAGAGTTTATTTCATTATTAGTTTTTTTATTTAGTTGCATAAGAAGAAGTAGTAAAAATAGTTTAGAAAATACAAATACATTTTTTGAAAAAATTACGAATAAGGAATTCATTAATGATGAAATAACAGATAAAAATTTATTTAAAAATGAAAATAAAACAAAAATAAAATATACTAATAAAAATTGTGAAAATGTTGATACATTTCATAAAAATACATGTTCAAAAAATAATGTTTTAAATGATGATATTTCTTATAATATTTTAATCGAATCCTTTTATGAGAATTCAATAAGTAATAAGTATGGTTGTGATGTTAAGGATAACTTAAATTTTAATGAAAATTTGTATTACAAAGATGTTTATTCAATTTTCTTAAGTTTAAATGAAAAATATAGATATGAATATAATATAGACGATATCGAACAAGCATTCAGTGTTGATAATTTGAATAAAGTATGTGAATCTCTTTATAAATATTTACATAAAATTAGAAAAATGAAAAATGATCATTTAATTAAAAAAGGGATAAATATTGTAATTGTACTTTTATATTTAACTTATGTATATTTTGGAATATATTTTTTGAAAACAAAAAATTTATATATAAAATTATATTGTATAGACAAAGAATTCAAAGATTATAAAATAAAAAGTGAAGCAATAAAAAATAATCTAAATAAGAAAATTGAAGAACTTTTAAATCAATTAAAAATTAGCGAAAAGTATTCTGAAGAATACGAAAAATTTAAAGAGAAATATAATGAGATAAAAAAAGAAAATGAAAAACTTAAAAATACTAATATTATCATTCAAAAATTAAAAAGAAAAATTAATTTAATAGAAACAGAAAAACTAATGATTATAAAAAAAAAAGAAGAATTAGAATTTATAATTAAACAAAAAAATCTATTAATTGAGAGTAATAAAATAAAAAAGAATGAAAAAGAAATTAAAAAATCAGAAGTAAAAAAAACAAAATTAGTGTTAAAAAATGATTATAATACATTAAAAAGAATTAAATCTATTAGTGGAAAAAGTGAAAGTAACAATATTAAAAGTATTTATCTATCAGAAGAAAAAAATAATACAGAAGTAGAACAAAACATAAAAAATAGAGAAGATAAATATGAGCATATAATAAAAAAAAAATCTACGTGGACTACAGATAAAAATATACAAACAGTAAATCAAGAAAAAGAAAAAATCATAAAAGAAAAGGAAACTCAAACTATAAAAGAAATAAAAGACAATAAAATAAATAGAGGAGTACAAACATTAAAAAGTGATGATTTAAAAAAAACAAATAGACATATTTTAAAGAATCAATTATATGAAGATAAAAAAAAAAAAAAAATAATAAATAAATTATATGAATATATTAAAGAAAAAGAAGAAAAGGAAGAAGAGGAAGATGAGGAAGATGAGAAGGATGAGGAAGACCAAAAAGAGGAAGATAAAGTTGAACATGAAGAATATCAAGAAGAAGATGAAGAAGAAGAAAAAAACAAAGAGAAAAAAGGAAAAGAAAAAAATAACAATAATAATAAAGAAGATGAAATTGAAGACAAAATAAAATATAAAAGAGAAAATGAAATTAAAAAAAAAATAGAGAAAAAAAATGAAACAGAATTAAAAGAACATACTATGACTATAGAAGAAAAAAGAGAAAATTTATTTTTTGCAAAAGTTAATAAATCAAAGGAAATCTGTAAAAATAGCAAAAATAATTATGTACACAATAACATATATACATTAAAAAATATTAAGGAATTCATTAATAAATCGATCTATTCTTTAAATATCAAAATAAAAGAAGAAGCAAAAAGTAAATGTATATTAGATTATAATAACTTTTTTTTATTTTTATCAAATAAAAATGACATAAAAAAAAAAAAAGAAAAATTCATTAAAAGTAGTTATAAGAAATATTACCTTTACTTTAATACAAAGAATTTCAAATTGAATGATTACATCATTCAAAATATAGTTGATATGAATAGAGAAATACTAATTGATAGTATTTATAATTATTTAATAAATAAATATCATATTCTTAATGAGTTACTTGAAAAAAATTTTTTTTATGAATGCTTATATATTTTTTCTAATTTTTTGCAAATTGAAGGAATCAATAATGCAAACAAACTAGAAGAAAATAATTTGTATAATATTATTTCTTCTTGTTTCAATTATTTTGATGAATTATCAGAAATAATATATAGTATAAAAAGGGACATATATTTATCAGAAGAATTAGTTAATAATTACTATGTAGATTTAAATAATTTATTTAATTCTTATTTTTATAGAAAGACAAAACTTGTTAATATAAAAAATAATGATAGTTTTCTTTTAGACTTTTTTTACGAAAATATAACTTTGAGTGAAATAATAAAAGAAGAAAATAGTTTAAATGAAGAATTAAATACTTTTTCTATCTTTACAAATAAAGTGAATTTTTCAAATTTAAGTGATAATTTTATTACATTAGACTTTTTAAACAGATTAAATAATGTTAATGAATTTGATAAATTAAATAAGGAAAGAAATATTAAAAAATACAATGTTCTAAATGAAATAATGCATTATAATAATTACATTTTTTTTAATAAGTATATTTTTTTTCATGATTATTATTGTATTCTTGATAATTATTTATTCAATGAAAATGAATCTGTTCTTTTGTATAATAAAATAGACAAATTAATTGAAAAACAAATTTATATGGAAAATAAAAATAAGGAACTACTGAAACAGAAAGGAAGTACTCATAAATTATTGACTGAAAGTAATATAAAATTTGTAGACATTTTTAATGAAGCATATAAACAAAAAAAAAATAACATAATACTTAAAAAGAAAAGTTACTCAAAGAAAAAAAAACTTCATAAATATGGTAAACATAAAAGCAAAATTAATTTTTCTTATTACACTGAAAAAATTAAGAATAATTATAACAAAAATGGAAATAATAATTATTTTTTAGGTGAGAATTTAAGTAGAGATAATCTTAGTATAAAATTTACCAATTTTTATATAAATTCAAATAATCAGATATTATATGTCAATCTTTCTCATTATTATAATATTTTTTATCTACTAAAAAATAAAAATCCTAATGTGGAAAACTACAATATCAATTATAAAATAGAGAAAACACACAAATGTAAAAGCAATTTGTATAAAAAAAAAAAAAGGAAAAAAATTATATTATCGGATGACAGAGAAAATGAAAAAGTAAGATTTAATAAATTAATTAATAATTTTTCATACAAGAAAAGAGATACTTTAAAAAACAAAAATACTTTTTATAGAAACATAAATTACAAACACTATGCTAATGTTGATATAAATAATTGTAAAAGAAAAAATGTTCTAAAAAAAAATTATAGACATATTGCATTAACAAATATATTAAAAAATAGGAAAAAATTTATAACTAAAAAAAATAAAATTACTAAAAATAAAAACAGTAATGATACAAACAAGTTACATAATAAAAAAAATATAGTTAAAAAATTTAAAAAAAAATATTTCTTCATAAGAAAAAAAACTTTAAAAATTATTGAAAGAAAGGCAAGCAAACGATTAGGAAATATATGTGAAGATTATTTTCATGAATGTAATAATAAAGCAAAACAAAATGATGTATTTCTTTTAAGTAAGTGTAATTTAAAGGAATATAAGAAAAAAAGAAAATTAAAAAAAAAATTGATAAAATATATTAATCATAATTATAAATTTAATGGTGTCCTAAATTTTAACAGAGAATTAACACTTCATATATGTGTTAATTTATTAAAAAATACAAGTTATCTATTTAAAGAAATTTTTCTATCTAATATAAAAAATTGTAGTTATTTATCAAGTGATGATAATATTATAACTATCAGAAATTATAATCTTAAAAAAGAAAATGTCTGTTCTGAAATAAATGAATTTGTAAATAAGAAATATAATACATATAATTTAAAAGATCATGATTCTTTATTATATTGTTGTAAATTTTTACGTATGTATAAAACATTCACTTCATTAAAAAAAAGAAATTATGAATGCTTAAAATTTAACAAATGTGCTGATACTATAAATGCATATAAATCTAATGTGTTATTAAAAAAACACAAATTAAAAAAAAAAAAAAAAAAAGCTATAATTTTGGGAAAATATGAAAAGTGTGTAAAAAATAATAAATATTATAACAAAAAAAAAAAAGAAAAAAATACGAAAATATGTAGAAAAAGTAATCAACATATAAAAGACAAAAAATATTTCGATAAAAATACTAACATTACTTATTCTTACCATTTACTTTTAATTAAGTCTATATATATTTTATCTTTATCTTTCTTTTTAGTTTTTTTATTCTTGATAGATGATTATTTTTTTAATAATTTTATATTTTCTTGCTTTATTTATATTTTATGTTTTTTTTTACTTTTTATTATATCTTTATTTAAAAGTATAATATATACAATTAATATTTTTTTAAAAAAGAAAATCATATTACAAGATTTGTTAGATTTATTTTCAATTCAATTTATTGAGATGTTTAATAATATACATTCTTATGTATATCATAATAATATTCACATAGATTATATATAAAAAAAAGAAAAAAAAAAAAAAATATATATATATATTTATTAGATTTAAATATTTTTAGTTTATTTTATTTAAATATTATTTATTATCTATCTTTTTTTTTTTTATTGAACCTATATATATAATTTTAAGATAGTGTTTTACTTATAAATAATTCAAAAAATAATCAAATTTATTAAAAAAAAAAAAAAAAAAAAAAAAAATTAAAAAAAAAAAAAAAAAAAATAAAA